TCACGCGCGCACAGGGCGGCACCGGGCAAGGCCCAGGACGTGGGCAGGGGCCAGTCTGATTAGAAATGGCTCCTGAACTAAACAGGACAAGGAGCACGTGTGCTGATTTTAGGAAGAGGGGTGTTGGTGCTCAGATTTTACTTTAGGAAACTCTGTCTAGTAATAATGGCTTGAAGAGGAGGCCAGAGTAGGTGACCAAGAGGCCAAGATGCTGGTTAGAAGTGGTAAGTGTTGATGTGTCAGAGTGAGGACAGCAAGTGGAAGGAGACAGTTTTGAGAAATGCAGGAAATGCAACAGGGCTTGGGGACAGGATGTGAAGGGCGGAAGTGCCCCAGACACCTGTGCTGATTGGCGGTGACGCTCTTCACTAACAGAAAACACAAGAGGGAAAACGCTGGGCTAGGGGAGACGTTATTCAGTGATGGCCTACAACAGATCATCAATGGACCGGGCAACAGGTCGTGTCAAGAGCAAGGTCTGGGCTCAAGACCCTGACTTGGCAGTCTTAAAAAGGACAGGGGCAGGGGAAAAGAATGGGATCACACAGAACATGATACGGCGGTGAGAGGAGTGGGTATAGGTGACGCAAAGATTAGAAAGCTGCGAAATAACGAAGAGTCGGCAGGGAGATGCGGGCAAATTACAGAAGAATGGAGTCACAGGAGCCCAGGAAATAAACAGTACTAAGCAGGGTATGGTGAACAGGGTCTACAGTAAGGTCAGGAGAGAAAACTGTGCCCTGGATTTGGCAACAGAAAGGTCAGGAGTGCTTTCTGCAAGGCCGGTTCTGACAGACAGAGGGTAGTTTTCAGTAGAAGCCATTCACGTGGACAACATGGAGAAAACAGGCTCCTCAGGCTGGTCCAGGTGATTAACCGGTGATACTAGCACTTAACCCAGGGCGGGCTCCTGATAGGTGTTTCCTGTTAAACTGCACCAGGTAGAGCGAGCGCCTCAACGCCGTGTAGCTGGGAGGTGCTCTGCAGAAGGGGTGGCGGGGGGTAGGCGAGGGGCGCACAGCTGTGTGAAAATACGCACCAGACAGGAAACGAGCACGACAGCGACAGGCAGGTGCTCGCTCGCTTTAATCGTGATTCTAATCACCGATTTTCTCATGAACACAGATGATCCCATGAACCTGAGAAGAACTGAGCAAAGTAGTACACACTTTTTAATGGTTAACATGATGCAAAGAATTTTTATTAAAAAGTGATGAGGAGCTGGTTGAAATTCTCGCCACAAATGTAAAATATCTATGACCACTTTTATTCACAGTGAATTCAGATCTAAGCTTCCTG